GAAACCACCAATCCCTTACAAGAAGAAGGTACTATGACCTTTGAACGAGAAGCCATTACGGCTGACTGAGAAATATCTTCATGCTGAGGTAAAAGAGATGAATTACAATCAATTGAGGAAGTACACAGCTTTTTCCTCGCTTTTGGTATCGATGCAGCAAGACGCTTTCTTGAGCTAGCTCCTTGAAGAGGACTTCTTGGTGCCTTTTTCTTCGGACTGGGTTTAACATCCTTACTTACTCCTCTTTTCTGTCCTTTCTTCCTATCTTGAGCTTTCTTAAAAGCTTCTTTAATTTTTTTGTGTAGAGACAGTACGTCGTGGAGTAGCTTTAGGACCTAGTCGTGCTCTCACTGGAAGTTTCTGTTTAGTCATGAGAGATTCATCAGGGAGAGTAGCCTTATATGAATTTGCGGCTTGATCAGAGTTATCTTCAAGCTCCCTGTGTATATCTGGGTGGATACGGGGAGCCCTGTCATTTTTATAATGAACTGGAATATTTTGTAAATTATCCTCTTCCATATGTAAGGGATCTGGATCTCTTTCATGTTGGGATAGTGGCTCCACAATACGTTCAAGTGCTGGTCTTCTTTGGCGAGAATTTGATGAAGAATCTGCGTTTTCATTCAGAAGAGGGAGAGCTTTGTCATGAATTTTCCTTGCAGCAGCCTCTGGAGTGTGAGTATTTGGATTCTCACGAAAGCTTTCTTTTCTGCATAAAGATGCAGAATTAGAGTCCCTAGCCACCCATTTGGAGAAGCCTTCAAAACGCAAACTATCCCTTTGATTTGTCTTCTCTGTTCCCGCTCTTGTACAAGGTATGTACCTGATCGCGTTGATGTATTAGCTCCGTATTTATGGTGCCTTCTCATCGTCTATTGTGGCGTAATACTGAAGTCTCCTCATAGTGAGGTAAAGGTTTTGAAAGGACTATAGAAGGATCTAGAAAATCCATATGATCAAAGAAGATATTGTGAATATATTTCTAATAATTATATCATTTATGTATTTGTGTAAATTAGGAAACTATGTTAATTATGTTTAATAGTCTRTTCTCTATATWAACTCATGTATTATAACCTTTATCATTATGAGAGTAAATATAATTCTTCCCATCTAATCTCTCATCAATCTCTAATATGGTATCAGAGATTTCGTGTTGGCGGAAGTGGAAGAGAAGAGATCTCCCGACGGTAGTGATGGAGATCTTCTCAAATGGTGAAGCAAACATGTTAACATGGGGAAGAAGAAGCCAAAAAGATGAAATTTTTTTTTTTTAATTAAAGGAATAGAAAGAAACGAAAAACAA